GAGCTTTGTTCCTGCATCCGTTGGTGCATGTAGGTAGTCCTTGAACCCTATTCCTTCCTTCAACATTCCGTACACTTCTAGACCCTCCTTATCCTTGGATTCTTTCCTCAGATTCTGTTCTTCTCTCTCGGCACAAGCAACAGATATCTTCTCCTTGAACCCCTGTAGACCCTCCGTTTCCAGCGTTTCATCTTCGTCGATGTCGAGCCCCTTCCATACGTCCTCTAAACCTTGACCCATTCCGTGGGTTGCCTACCCCTCTTTTTATTTGCCCGCTTCGCCTCCCATACAATCCTCGGCAACCTCTCCTCTCCCATCCCGCACATGCGATACTGCCATGTCAGCTTCCTCGCGTCTCTTCCCGACCGAAGGGATTGCATCCCCAATTCTGCCCTGACGGTTGCATGACTTGTGCGCTTGGAGCATCCTAGGATGATTTTTGCTGCTTTCATCTGTGCCGCCTCGAGTTCTTTCACTATCTTCTTATTTCCTTCCCATACTTCTCCGGCGTACTCTAGCGACGGTGGGGGGGATAGATGACCCAGCACTGATTAGTCACGCATGTTCGGGTTTTGATGCCTTGTTGTCAGCTGCTTCTCCCCGTGCCAGGCTCTGGCTAGTAGATGCGCCACCTTTGCCTCGTCGCCGTCTCACAACTGGTTCGTTGCTAGCCGGTTTCCTCCTTGGCCATGGACGTACTTGAACTCTAGTCTGGCTCGTTGCTTAAACTCGCCGGTTTCGTCCTTGGCGATGGACGTACTTGAGTGCTGACCCCACGCGCACGCCCCTCCGTCGAGAAATTCAGGTGTGTGCGTGCTTGGAGGTCTGCGAAGAGAACCAGAACGCGTTTCCCGGGGACGCGGCGTCGTCAGCCCCTGGGAGGCCGAAACCGCCGCCGGACGTTCGGAGCACCTGCCACAAGCGCGTCGTGGACTCGTGCAAGGTTTGTTCGTGCTGGGCATGCAGAGCCTGTCGAACGCGTGTTGCAACAGCGAACTTGCTATTTTTTACCTATCGCTCGTATTGCCTACTTAGCGTGCCCAATGTGTAGGTCGTGTAACGAGACAGCTGGAGAATTTTGGGAGCATAATGGCGGTGATGATGTCGTCGGCCTGAGCACCGAGTGATTTGTCCTTTTGGGGGGGGGCTGCCTGTAGTTGAGTTCGCCCGTCAAAATAATGACGGCCCTCCGAGGACGATGCTGAACCACCAAAGCGATATTTCAGGCCCGCGATAGAAGGCGCATGGCCTCCGCTCCCCTGGTGTATTGCGCAGATCGAGGCCTCCACGTGCTCTTTGAGTATCGACATCTGTTGTTGCCGGCCTCAAGGCGTGACGCCGCGTAAACACCGGAGGTTCTCAAGAGCAACTACGTTGACACTTCTTGTTCCAAAATTAATATCAACAGAATTTCCATTTCCTTGCCCGAGCGTAAGTCGTTTTCTTTTCTCTTTTCTTCCTTTACGTTGACACAGGTATGGTATCCAGTTTCTGCAGGTAGGTCTCCGACGGGGTATCTAACCCGCCTCTTGTCTTGTACGAGACAGGTATTCTGTGGTGGCTTGACATCCCTACTCTCTTTTCCTCCTTTCAATACACTCCTTCGTATGGATCGGCAGGAGCTGACGCCGTGCTTGGTGCAGTCCTCCGTGACCCTCTCCGTCCCCATGGACGCGCCTGTCACCTTCTCCACGGAGCTGGTGAGCGTCTCCTGGAGCCTCCGGTTCGAGTTCGTCATTTCACCCCCGGAGTCTAGATGGAGCCTCGGCGGTATGTGTGCAAGGATCCTTGCTGTTGGTAGTAGCTGTGACCGGATGCTTTACGATGTACCGATTTCGCAGATGCAAAGTAGCTGGATGGAGCTTTCGGTCGAGTAAGCGGCGTGCTGGCTGACGGGGGCCAGCTCACAGCGGCAGTGTTGACGAACTTCTGACGAGCGCCGCAAACTCGTTGTGTTCAGCTTGTCGATTATTTCTCGCGACCGCTGATGGTGTCTTGTGCTGCCGAGTGACGGGGGTGAGCGGGGTTGGTTTCTGCAGGATAACCGGCCTAGCGACGGCGCGAATCTGTGCGTGTGTCGTTTTAAATGTGCAACGCCGGAATCGTCGTCTCCCTGCAAGATCAGCGGTACGTTTCCCATGGAGAGAGCTAAAGGGAAGCGTTCGGTGGATCGTTCGAAAACAACCCTTCCCGCTGCTCAAATATCTGTTTCTGCTGTCCATGTAGTCTAGACATGTTTACGGCACGGCACGTTTCCCCCTCGGCTGGCATCCATTGGCTGAATTTCACAGTCCTGGGAAAAATGCTCAGCAGGCGGATTTGCCTCAAAATCCCTCTCTTGGCCACAAGTCGTTTTTGTCGTTCTGTCGACCGGGCTTGACGATCATCTCGTCCTTCTTTTCTCTTTTTTTTTGTCCACGCGCCTTGAACACACGCGACTGCTGGAAAGGATTTGCGCCGTCGAAGGCCAGCGTGCTGAAGTGGGCCGTGCCCATCCGAGTCACGCCCCCGAGCCACATCGTGCTCGCCGGTGCGGGGGGGAATGCAGGCGGAGGCGGAGAGCTTGGGTGTAACGCTATGGATGCCACGGGCAGAACGGTGCTTTGCTAGGTTAGCACGCACGGGATAAACCCCCTGCGTTTCGGTCCTACGGTGTATTTTGTGGTTTCTTCTTTCGCATCGACCGCGCTGACCGATAATAGGACGTCGGTTTCAGTGCGGTTGAAAGCAGAAACGCTTCTGAAGGCCATGATCTGGGAACTCGTGAGAGGGCGCTATGTTCTGGGCGCGTTTGTTGGAGCCAGGATATGTTGGATCCACGTACGACGTGCTTGTTGTTGATTGCATCTGTACCGTGCTTGGATGGTACAGAAAGGGACATCACGCGGAATGCCGCCTACCACTTACTCCTTGTGGACTTGCACGGCCTCCATTCTCTTCGGGCGTGGCCATATAAGATCTGCCGTAGTCTAGCGGGAGGAATGTCGGTGTCATTCCTGTTTTTTTGTATCTTATGACTCGCGGCGGTTGTTGTAGCTGGTGCAGGCGTGCACGCAGTGTTTTCACGCATGGTGTTCTTCCCGCTGTATCGTTGTGTCCGGCATGGTTATGTCGTGTTGTCTGTATGTATGTGCTGTTTTATCAAGTTTTCGGGTGGGATTTTTCTTGCCGCCGCCGGTAATGCTGGCGCTGGTGCTTGTGGGGTCGTTTGAGCCGATCCCACCCCACACTTGTGATGCCGCTGTCAACGCCTGTTCCGTGGAGAGTTCCTCTCCAACTTTTTTTCTCTCACGTTGCGTCTCACCCCGTCTCAGCTTGGCTACCCTTGATCTTGGTGTATGTGCGAGTAAATTGGTTTCTTTTTTTTTTCACGTGTGCTCAACCAATCGATCCCCAAACGCGTGTTGGCTGCCTGCTAAAGCTACGCCGACGGCTCCTACCCGACCAGCATGCATGACGGTGAGAAGTTTGGAACTGTATCTTGGCCTGCACCAACAAGGTTTCTGGGTCGACGGTCTTCCTGCCTATATCATCTGCCACTCGAAGAGCTATTGCCTTCGGAAGCATGCTTTCCGGCTGCATGCGTCTCGCGAAATATGCACTCCATTGCTTTCAGCACAGATGGACTTCACGCATAGGCATATCGCGGAGTGTAGGACGTATGTCGCGGAATGTAGGGGTCGGCTTGAGTGAAAAGTTCATCTCTCCGTTCGACTATTATAGACCTGGATGTGTAACAGTCTAGACGTTCCACCAGCATACAGAGCAGATAGATGTGCACGGGAGACGAATTCCGTTCCGTGCACTGGTCACACTCAAACAGACTTGCCCACTGTTGGCCTCGCACGCCTGACGGACGACGAGGAGCACGAGACGTGGTGAAAAATCACTGTTGCACGTGGGTGCGTTTTCGTCCCATGTGTATCTTGCGCCATCTCCAACAAGAAAAATAAATGAGCACTCCTTCGGGATATCAATGACTTTGTTTTGCTGTTCTGCAGTATTAGACTATACATGTCACATGGGCAGTTCCCCTTTTCGGTCCATATCTCCTTCCCTCTGCCGCTGTGCGCTGCTTGCCTTCGATGACCGGAAGAATGCCCCCTGCTATTGTAATTCGTACTCAGGAAAATAATCGCTTCCACCGCACGAACCTAAAGAAGCAACTTTGAGAAGAAATGTTCACTCCTGAGCTCCCCAGAGAGCATCGAACCGACGGCCTGCCGCTAGAACGTTACTTCGAGGTTGCCCACTGGAGAACCAGGGCCACAATCTGTAGGCAGTACTGTAGCACTCGCCGTGTGCACTGGTTATGCCAATCTGGACGCTTGTATTACGTAAGGCATGAGCCCCAAATGGATGCACAGACACGGGCAGCTTTTTTTTTTTCTGCACAGGCGCTGTACCAAAGACTACACTGACTGCTGCTGTACTCAATAGTACAAAGGATTCATCTCTATCCACAGACAATAGCCCGGGATAAAAGAAATGGATTCATTGCGTTGGCAGGCCCACCACTTGTGTTTCAATGATTCCCTTAGCAGCATACACGATTTCTCCCCTGGGTGTGACAGGCTCAACTAGATGACTAGACTAGTCTACGGCATGATTGGTGGCGTGGATCCAAAGGGATCTTTAATATGGGAATCTGAAACGCTCGTGTCATGTTCGCGCATATCTTGCTTGAACCGTCGAAAATGGCAGAAAATGCTCATCAAGCCGAGGGGCTAGCGCTGCATACCCAATCCCTAATCCTAGCGTATCACACAAGAGCATGCAATAATACCAAAGCCCGTTTGTGGATATCTCGGTGCTGATGTATAGTCACAGTAGTCTACTGTGGACGCAACAACGGCTTCGTATCATGAATTTCGAAACACACGACATCGTCGTCTTCCGTCGGTCATCGTTGTCGGGCTATTCTTGGCACTTGGCGTTCTAGAGCCACCGCAGAAACACCAGCTACCGAGACGGACGGCGTTCAGGTGGCGGCCGGCTGACTGCAAGCGGGTGCATGGAAGCACGCCGTACAACACCAGCTACACTCTACAAGCATGAACTCGCAGTTGCTTCGAGAAGACAGTGCATGTCTCCTTGAAGACGAGAACAGCCTGCGGGGAGGGGCAGGGCGAGGCCATGCAGGGCGTACGAGCGAGGAGGAAGACGGCGGGGGTGGTGCCGACAGCAAAGACATCGAGACAGCAGAGATGGAAGAGCTGATGGACGATATCCTCCACCCTCGGTCGTGCTCTCTGGCGAGCACGGCTGGCGGTAGCAGCAACGGCGGAACCGAGTCCCACAACGAGGAGAGCGCTGGGGATGATGACACTAGGAGGTTCTCGGTGAAGAAGCGAGGCGGGGAATCGTCTTCTCTGCGGCAGAGGGGGGGGGATGGTGGTAGGAGAAATAGCGCGAAGGATGTCGATGAGGAATTAGGCGGGACCGTCATTGGGAAGGCAAGGCGAAGAAAGAGTTCGGCCGGTGGCGAGAGAGGAAAGCTTGTCCGTACTGATGGTGGGGGCGATGAAGGAAAAGTCTCTGGAGGGATCATTGATAGGTATGTCCGTGGGTTGGCTGTTGTACCACGAAGGCAAGCAACAGCCAGAGCTCTGCTCGCCGAAAGCTACGTGTCGTCTGCATTGCTTTCAGCTATTGGCAGCGACGGAGTTTCGCGACACTTTTTTTGCTTCAGTGCGAGCGGACATCAGTGTACAGCTGTGTAGTCTAGTCGTGTAATACATACTCGCGGTACATTCGTCTAAGTACGCATGCCGCTAGAAGCCCAAACGTGGCGCATATGTCGCATGCCGAATCTTCATGTCTACAGTGTACAGACAGTCGTGCCCTTTTGAGGGGTCGCAACATCATACGGGGAACTACTGTAGGGGCGTGACGTTCCTCCTTCCGGGGGAACACGTCTTCTTCTCCCGGACGTACGTAGTAACTTGTGAATCCGTCCTACGCATACCACACGAAATTCGACGGATGAACAGTACATTCCAGATGCTTGCGGAACACGGTACACAGTACCCCGTGCTTCATTCCCGCAAAAAATCTTCGATAGAACAATACCTGAATAAGTAGATCGCCCAACCCAGAGCGGTGGATGCTACAGCACGGTAAGCCCGAGCCCCCATATTCGGCTACATCCAAACGATGTAAATACGGCATGAATGCAGAGAAAAAAACTCGAGCATCATGTGCCAAGCAATGTCATCGCTCCATTTCCAACAGAGCATGAATCGGCGCTGTCATCAACAAGGGTGAGCCCCACTATTTGGAATACGGAGGTTCTTCGTGAATTCGCCCACTCACAAGAGCTAGACTCATCATTCCAATGGCAGGTTAAACGAGGGAGTACGGGCGGTAGGCCCAGCGTTGAGACGACGAAGCTCGAGCATCGCCAAACATGTCGCGGTCGTCGCGGCGAATGTCACGGCTATCACCGGCACCGGTACCGGCACCGGCACCGGCACCGGCACCGATGATCGGGATACGCCGGCCGCGGCGGCGGGCGACAATCGGCGAAATAGGCTACTGAACGTGGCAATGCGATCGAAGACAGCGGCTGCCGCGGTCGAGGGGAATAGCTCCGAAGACGAGGTTAGTCACGAGCGGCATGGTGTAACAATAATGTACACCAACGTTGCAGCACCCTATCGGGCACACGGGAATTCAACACATACTGTAGGCAGTAGCTGTTCACGACACGCCCCGCTGGGAAACAGCCATGGCTGCGACGCTTCTTCAAAAACGTTCCACTTCGCCATCAAAATCGTCCACAAGACACCGCCGATCGCAATAATCTTACACAATGGACGACGGGGGCGGGGGGGGTGTACTCATAGTCGTGCATGCCATCTAGTCGTTAGACCATTGACCTCGCATCCCTACAAAGCCGGGACGGAGCACGCCGGGTTCTCACCGGACCAGGCTCTCACATCACCAAGCGCGAAGCGCCGTGAGATATTCGGCGAGTCGCATGAAGGGTGCGCTGCATCCTGCTAAGGGTGTTCGGCATCTTGTGCGTAATTCCTTGCGTACTTATGACAACTGCGTGTGACCTACTTTATTTTCTGGTGCTTTCACTTCCTAAGACAGTTGCAAGCACTGTGTAACTGCCTCGAGGGTGCTTGATCATTTTAAGACGACGTGGCACGATCATCCCCCTTGGGCGGAGTGAGGGTTCTCGACCCCGCACATCATGATCTACTCGACCACCA